GATTGGGTGAGAGACGTCGGCTGGGCTCCTTCTATCGGTCTTCCCACCAGCACCATCGCCAGCTGCTCCCAGGTGAGATTTATTAGAATTAAAGGGATCACATGTTTTGATTTAGACACTTCAAAAAAACAGTTTCTTCTCCTCAGCTGCAGCCAGAATTGGGAAATCTCTTTATTTAGAGAAACCTGAATTAAGCTTTTATTACTCTGAGAGGTGTGAATTTATCCATTTGTACCACCAGGTGGAGCCAGAGAGAGCTTATAGTTCAAGTAACCTGGTTAGATTGGAGGTGACAGTTAAACAATGTAAGACAGTCTGCTGGGTTTTGAACCACGACAGTTAATTGGGAGGTTTTGCTCACCGTTTCTTTTTGCACTTTCTCGTAGGACGGTCGCGTGTTTATCTGGACGTGTGACGATCCCGCAGGAAACACCTGGACGGCCAAACTGCTCCATAAGTTCAATGACGTCGTTTGGCACGTGAGCTGGTCTATAACTGGAAATATACTGGCTGTTTCTGGAGGAGACAACAAGGTGAAATATATACAGTAACACCTTGTTTTTCTACTTAATGAAGATGATTTTAGATGAAGTAGCTGCTGCATCAGACCAGACGTTAAAAACTCATTAAAGGTTCTACGTGTAACTTTTAACAGTGATTGGTGGAACCTGCAGTTATCTGAAGATCTGACACACTTTCTCTGTGTGTGTGTGTGTGTGTGTGTGTGTGTGTGTGTGTGTAGGTGACGCTGTGGAAGGAGTCGATGGACGGTCAGTGGGCGTGTATCAGTGACGTCAGCAAGGGCCAGGGAGCCGTCTCCACCATCACAGACACGCAGCAGAGCGAGCAGTGACGCACACACACACACACACAGAGATAACGACGACCCCCCGATCTACGAAGATGAATTAAGCGTTAATTAACACGACGGACATTCGAACAAACAGAACATCGTCCAGACAGATTGAGCTCGTGTCTCCTTTCTGTTTGATAACAACAGTTTGAGTTCAGCTGTCAGATTCCTGTTTTCCCCAAATTTTTATCAGCAGTGAAACAAAGCTGCCGGAGAATCTCCACAGATACAAACACGACAGCACTCCACCGCCTCTCGCTTCCACATGTACATAAACATTGGTCCAAATATAACTTAGTACTCACCCCGAACCCCCCCATCCCATCCTACCCATGATGCTCTGCTCCTGAAACATTCCACCTCCACCAGCGGAGAACAAACCCGGGACGACTCCGACATCGACTCCTTTTTATTTCAACCCAAACCGCTAATTTAAAAAAAACAAAACAAAACAACCTTTATTTTGAGCAGGAGACAGTTGACTGTCAGCTGTTTGGTGCAAAACTTAACACTTAACAACAACAACAACAACAACAATAATTAGTGAATGAATGATTTATTTAGTGATCTATTGACGAGTACACAAACTACAGTGTCAGCAGAACATGCCTTAATTAATCCGCCGCTGCGTTGCTATGGCAGCCCGAAGTGAGTAAATCAGTGCGTTGCCAAGACAACCGTGAATGAGGTGTAACTGCAAACAGTTTGAGTGTTTTTTTTTTTTTCAGATCAGAAACCATGGATGTGTTTTTCATATTTGATGTAATTAAACTATAATGTTGAAAATGTGTTTGGTTTCTTTTCTCTTTGCTCCTGCAGCCATAAATGTCTAATACGGCTATTATTAATACGGCTATTATTAATAGTTATTATATTATTATGGCAAAAAGCTGTTCCACAGTGGAGAAATCTTACTTCAACCCTGCAGAACAGCCTCAGGTATGCTGTAGGTAGGTGAATGTTGGGGGTTGATTCATCACATTGGGTTTGTAAGTTCTTCAGAGGACTAGTAACTCTCAATATTGGTGAAGAATTTCTCCTTCAATGTCCCTTTACTTGCTTTTATCACCTCCTGTACTCCAGCTGTGTTTGGTGATATCACTATAATCTAAGATTCCCCAGACATGTTTAAAGAGATAAAAACATAAATAATACGAAGGTTTCTCACTGAAGTGAGCCGGAGCTGTTTGAATTCTCTAAATGTGAAAGAAATGAGCTTCAGTGTTTCCTTTATTATCTCCTGTAGCAGAAGATACTCTGGACCAAAGGAAAGTAAGATAACGCTGTCCCATAATTCCTTGCACCAGCAAACATTTCACCATTGTTAACAGTTTACATAATCAACAGTAACATGATCATAACAAATTATAAATATATTTAATGATTATTTTAATGGCTCAACTTTCTTTTCCCAACATTTCCTGTTTGCTTTTTGTTTTTATTGTCAACAATATCAGTGTTCCTTTGTTTGAGTGATTGATGGTTAAATGTACCAATGTATGAATTATAAACATCCTTTCTGGGGAAGTGAAATATTACTGGAGTTTGTTTTAGTCTTTGATGTGTTATAAATAAACGTTCTTCACATCTTTCTGTTACCTCGTGGTGTTTTACTTCCTTCATTGGATGTTCCTGTTCCTCTAGATCGATCACCTGATTGCAGACACCTGTCCTGATTCTACTGCAGCAGCACCTGGTGTCCTTTATTATCAAGGTTCCCACAAGTCCTGGAAACACCTGGAAATGGATTGAAATGCAATAATCAATGTCGTTCTGAAAGATGTGAATTGTATTTCATCCCCGCACTCAGACTGCCTACATAAACCTGGGATAGTATTTTGATTGAAACTTTTCTTATTTACCACAACAGAATACATTTAGTATGATTCTGTCCAATTAACTGATGCCTAGAAAACCTTTTAAATAACAAACATTTTAATTTAAAGTCTTCATATTTAACACACACACGTGTTTTTCTCTTCTTGAGTTGCTGTTTGACTAAATGTCTGTCCTGGGATCAATAAAGTTTGATCTGATCTTTTCTTAGTTCAACAATATATTTGGTTGAGAGAGAGAATCAGAGTTTCTTTCACAGAAGGAACAATGTTGTTCATATTTAAGAGAATAATTCAGATTTATTCGATGATACTCTCGAGTCTGAGTGATCTACAGAGTAAAATCTGGTCATTAATTTGAACATAATAAACTTAATAGAGGAGATCTGATAAGATAAGAGATAAGATATTCCTTTATTTGTCCCACAATGGGAAAATTCCAAAATTGATGTTCAAACAGTTAAATAAAAAAAGGGAACTGGATTATTTCTATTGTTTCAAACATCCAGGAAGGAGATTCCTGGATGAGACATCATGGAAATATGCAGCAACAAGAGTGTGAGAGAGTGTG